AATATATATATCATATATATATCATAAAATTGCAAATTACTTTGTTTAATTCAAATGTTACTACAAAAAATTAAAAAAATAACAGTAAAAAGTTTAATTCAAATACAAAAACTTTTTATATAAAAACACTTTGCAAAATTGTAATGAATCTGCAATGGATCGGCCCAGTATACAGCTAATGTTTATTCTTTGCTTATCATAATGAATGTGCTATTCGCTTATTACCTAAATGTAGAATTAAAAAAAAAACCGCTTTTTTCAAATCGTTTCGGGAAAAAAACCCGAAAAATTTCGGTTTTCTTCTCCAAAAATTTTCTTTTTTTTTTGTTATTTTTGTTGTGTAAATGACATAATAATATTTAACATAATATTCATATCTATATGCATTAAGTGCACTTACGAACATAGTTGTTATCTTAATATAATTGTAAAAATCTATATTCTTTCCCAATATATGCATTTTTTAAATGATATTAATTTATTTAAACAAAATTGTTTTTTATTAAATTAACCTCTTTCCTGTAAATGATACGCTATAGTCTCTTTCATGACATGATAGTGTTTCTTTCATAATAATATAAAAGGATGCTTTTAATGTACTAAACTTCAACAATATACTTGATGGGAGACGCTACCGCGTCTCTTGATAGCATCAAACGACAAAATTTCACTTATGTAATATTATCCGAATGTAATGTTAGAAATTGGAAAATAACTAATTACCTCGTTATCAAGTAAAAAAATAATTTATAGTTATCGTTATTATTACTTAAAAAATAACGAAAATGGTCGTTATGCTGAAACAAGATCATTCTAAAAAATTTTGCAATATTTTGTGTATTGTTGAAAGCATTAAACAGTAATAACACTAGATCGATATGTAAAACATATATCATATAATTAAAAGAAATACTTTTTCCGAACTGGAAATTCGTACATGATATTTTAGAGTTTTATACATGCATATATCCAATTTTGCAAATTAAACGCCAATTAAATTTTTGATCTTAAAATATAATCTGAATAAGGTGCGATATTTTACAATAAATTTTGTCTATGAGATCACTTTTATCAAATTTAAAAATTGAGATTCATAATAAATTTGTTTTTACATTAATACCACTCTATAATATATAGATTTATGAAATTCTTAAGATATATTATAAACCACAATCTCAAAGCCATTTTATAGCATCTTAAGACGTTATTTAAAACAATCCTGAAGTATGAATAAATTATTAGAGCTAAAATTGAATTAAAATGTATAAAAAATTATTGTCATAAATAAATTCAAAATAAATCAAAAGTAACAATAAGAGTAACTAAAATCGTTATCGTCATCAAAAAAAATATAACTGTATTACCGTTAAAAAAAATAGATAACGTCGTTTCCAATCCATTACAAAAAAAGTAACTGTAATGGCGTTATTATTTATAAGTAACGATCAATTACTTCCCATCCTTATGTAATACTAGTTGCTTAACATCTGTATTATTAGATTTGATCACTAGGTCGAATTTCCATACTTTGTTTGGTCCAATTTCTGAGACATAAAGGGCTCTACCATAAGGGCATACAGCAATGGCGTGAGGCATAGTGAAGGCCTAAAAAAATACAATATATTCTTCTTATATATAATCTTCTTCTTCTTATATATATTCTTTTTATATATATAATTAGTGACTAGTTGTTTTAATTCTCAAATATATTAAGAAATCTCTAATAATGAGGAGTTATTAAAAAAAAATATGAAATATAATACTTACTGAAGACTCCGGGTTCCAAAATTCAATTACATTCCGATTTATATGATCAATGGTGAAACCTCTAATTTGTATATTTTTAAATGTCATTCCATTCACGGCGTAAATGAAACCATCTGAAATTACATATAATGTAATAAAGACATTTATTGTTGATTTCTAGTGCTATTATTATATTTTGTACTTAATTTATACACAATATTAGTGGAAATGCTCCTATTATGAGATATCGAGTTCATTTTGGGTAAATACTAGAAATTTATAGGCAGAATTAAAAAAAATAATAAGTCATTTTGAAGGGAGTTTAATAAGCTTTAAGATAATGTTATATAAAATTTAATTAAAATTCATTATATTTGAAAATTAAAGAAATGTAAAAAGTGAGTAAAGTCAAAAAATTGTGCTCCTAATATGAGATACTCCGAGAAATCGATAGTAAAACGCAAAACATATCAGTATTGTAATTAAAAAACTTTATTTAATGTTTCTTAAATATAAACAAATACAACCAGTGTGTGCAAAATGAGTATGCGATACATTATACTCAGAACTCATCTTCAGCTAGTTGAAATTAAATATCGCAGAAATAGGTACTTGACGTTCATTCTGTCCTTTTTATTATTATACAATAACATGTATATTTTAGCAACGATTTTCGCTATGACATAGGAGCATGGATTATTTCATATTAGAAATGCTCTGGGTACCTCTTATTACGATTTCCACGCCTTACGGCGATCATTAAATCTAACTTCTGTAATTAAGCAGTTCAACATATCCCGTATTTTTTTATTAGTACGACCTTACTCTATCACTACATGAAGAATTTATTACCAAATATTTATTTTATTAAATAATAAACAATGTTTAAAGGCTCATATCTGAAACTTGAAAATATCCAAATTCTAAAATCTTTTTTTACGACGATTACATGCATGATTTAATAATAATTTAATAATGAATTTTAATAATGAATTTTCTAATTTTCTACTAAGCAGTTTTCAATACAAGAGCAATAAATTTATGGAGCAATAATATTACGGAAACCAATAGACTAGCGTCTATTAGTTCAACAGAAATGCTGCTATCTCATATTAGGCGTCCATCTTATAATAGGGGTCTTTTTCTTATATTTAATTTTTATATTACAATATATGTTATATAAACGTGTTATATAAATATGTTTGTAATTCAACTTTTATTTTTTATTTTAAATTTATGTTTCATAGTTATTCATTCTATATTCTATGTTTGATCTATTTTTATACTGCTTTGTTCCGCTTTTGCGTTTTTATAATTGTAATTTTTTACTTTCTTTTTCTGGTAAACGTTAGAGCAGCAAATTTTGCTATACCATGCATTTTATGCACTCGTGCCCCTAACATTTCTCGTTTAACTCTGTAATTGCTGTTTTTATTATTATTTTTTAATTAATATACAAACAAATTAAATTAAATTAAATTAAAAATTAATCTTCTTTTGTTTCTTTTATTTTATAAAGCAAATTTTTGTTAAATATATTTATAAGAATAATACTTAAATAAATAATTAAAAGTATTGAAAAATGAGATATGACTATAATATTGTTTATTTTTTTATTTACTAATATTTTTTCATTTTATTTTATTGCTTGATTTAATTTAATTGGTTCGATTTGGATTCTAACATGAGATTGAAAGAATTATTATATTTTTAATGTAATTATATAATAGTAATTATATATTAAAAAATTGCAACTATCGTGAATTACTTACGATACGATGCAATTCCGAATATTCGACCGAATTGCGGATGATGAATCGAATAAGGAAGATAAGAAGGAGGGTTTTGTTTCAATCCGGAAAATGTTACATCCAGGCATACAATTCTCAAATCTTCGCGGTCAGCGATACATACTTGTTCATTTGGCAAAATCGTCAAAGCATGTGGGACTCTTAAAGTAATCCAGTCTAAAATCGCAAATATATTAACTTTATTTAAATATGTAATAAATATGTGTATTAAAAGTATGTATTTATCAGAAAAGAAAATATTTGAGGATTTCCTCCTAAGAATATCCTCATTTAAGGATTAGTACAAACAAAAATTTAAAACAGATTATATGTATTATTAACATTACTATAGTATTGGTAATATTGAACGTACTTTCACCGATAGCATATTTAGGATTGCCCCTTTTGTCAAACAATATTATTCTATTGTTGCAATATCCGTCAGCGATGACAATGTCGCCACTCGGTAAAACCGCGACTGAGGTTGGCTGGCAGAAATGATTTATATCGTTTCCAGGCTCAAATCTTTGACCGAGAATCATTTGAGGAATACCGGAAGCCGAGTACTATAATTTTATGCAGATAGTCTCTAATATGTTTTTAACAGTAATAATAAGATTAGAAACAAGACCGGAATACATCATCTATGTGAAGACGCCTCTTGACGGTCAAAGTTAGATGTTAAACTAATACATATATATATACATATATATATATATATATACATATGTATTTTTTAATTAAATGAATTCATCTCAGAAATATGATTGCGCCTTTATTATCGGACATTTCAACATAATCTGTCTGAAATATTAATAATCCCCTCAAATTTAGTGTATTTACATATATATATATATATATAGTAGAGAGCGCCTTAAGGATTGATCAAAGTTGGAAGTTTTGAATAATATAATATTCTAAGTTCATAAATGTAATTAATCTCAAATATGACTGTGTGCTGAAACGTTTGGACATTAAAACACCATCTTTTATGAAATAAAGGGGAGATTATATTTATTCGTGATTGTCCGAACATTTCGGCTCACGATTATTATCTCAGATTGATTGTGTTTTAATATCCGAATGTTGCTACGCACAGTCACATTTGAGATTAATTAAATTCGTGAATTTAGAATATTATATTATTTGAAATTTTCCGATCCTTAAGGCGCTTTCTACTATATTATATTGTTACATAACTCGGTCGTTTTCTATTTTTTAATTACATACATATTAAAACCTGTAAAGAACTTATTGCGAAAAATATTATCTTGGCCGGGAATCGAAACCGGAATCAAAATCTCTAGCATGTTGTGTGAACGTCCTAATTAAGCTTTAGAACATCGAGACACTAATATTTTTCAGATGGATATAATGAAAGTCCAATAGTACAACAGCGCGCAATCATATTTCTAAGATTCATTTAAGAATATATATACATTACACAGTTTAACATCTAACTTTGACCGTGAGTGGCGCTTCTAATAACTATAATAAAAGATCAATTATAACATGTTGTAATAATTTATTGCTATATATAAATAACGAGTTCTTATTAAGTTTTCAATTATTTTACTTAATTTAATATATGGGAAGACCGGTGTCAGTTGACTATAGGGATAAGTAGAATAATCGAGGTTACATTAAAACACGCGATACACGTAAACGTGTCTGAGCACGCAGCGACTGCCGCTAAGTCTGCTGTAACATCTTGTTGGGAACACATCTATGATAGAAGTTATACCACAATTTAAAAAAATCGTACACCTAAGTAAATATTTTTATTCTTAAAGTTTTTGTTTTACAATCGTGTATGATTATCTGAGATATTTGATTTCTACTTAGTAAGTGTAATTCTTACTTAATAAAGTCCAACAGATTTTTTTGTTTATGTATTTTTGTTATTATATGTTGTTAATGTTGTTAAAAAATGAACAGGTGGGAATAGTAGATTAATCACAGCATGGAACTGTATGACTCATTTAGTGACGACTCTTATAATAATTACTTAAAATTTTATTCCTTTAAAGAGATTTTCCTCAGTGGTAAATGTTATAAGTTTAGTTCCCTTATGTCCAATCTCGAAAAGGGAGACTCATTCGACGTATTTTTGCACGAAGTGAACAAATTTTACAAAAAGAAGCATTGTTTTGCCCTGCGAAGCGAATGTGTGTGTTTAAAATATATTTTTATAAAAGTTTTATTAATATGTAGCTAAAGACGTAGCTTAAAATATATTAATCTTTATTTTAATAATCTTGAATTACCCCGATTCCGGGACTAGTTGAATCAGATGGAATGCATTAGAAAAATTTTTTTTTTTATATTAATTATCAGTTTCCCCTTATTATTAAAATGATTAGATAGTCAAATGTATGTAGTAATTGGTAGAATTCATTTTTTTTAATTGGTCTCTTAATTTCATCTATAAGAATTCGAAATCTAAAAAATGAATCTATTAGCATCGGTCTCCCCTACATATTTATATATATTTATTATTTATATATAATTATCAGAGGATTGGAAAGTTAAGGTCTGAGCAGAAGATTTGTCGTAAGATTTACTTATTATTAGACTTAAGTAGTAGATATATACAGTAATCAACGTACAAACTTTGGCGTATGACATATTTATTGCCGTATCTTCAAGAATCTCTTGGAAAGAGACTCTTGGAAGAGATTCTTGAAAAATTTTTAGACGATAATTTTAGACATTCTGCTCATTAAAAAAATTGCGAAAATTTCAAAATGATAGAAAACTTTTTGATTCAATATATATTCAATTTAGTTCGCTTTATCACATATTTAAAAAACGTTTGATTCATCTTGTATAACAATAAACTATAAATATTAGATTTCAATATCTATTTATGACAATTTTCGTATTGTATATTCAAGATATATGAAAAAAAATACACGGAAATTGTGCTGTAAAGAGATTTAAAGTATAAAAAGTAACGACAAAAATAATTATTAAATTTGCTACGATTATTGAACCGTAGCATTACAATAAATAATGTCATTAACAATTACAAAAATAGGTAATGGTAACAGTATTACAAATACTTAATTTAATAGTTATTTCTCAACTCTGATAATTACTAATAATAAAAACACATTTATGATCTAAGGTAATGTTTTATAATTATAACACAACAATTTATTTACTTGATAACAAGATTTAGGATTTCTTTTTTCATTTATTAATTATAATAGAGACTATTTGTATGTTTTTAATGCGAATTTCTTTACATACCTTGAATACTTGATGAAGAGCAATATCAGTCAACCATATATTTCCAAAGGGATCGACGTGAATTCCATGCGGTAAATAAAATGTTTGATTTCCCCAACCGCAAATAATATTACCAATTTTAGAATCCACCTTTAATACTGTATTCTCACGAATGGGACCTTTGTATTTCTCTTGGTATTCTGCATTTTCGTCGAAGGTACTAAAATTTCGTCAAATGCATTAGTTCAGCAGAGAAAACAGCTTTACTATTGTAAAATTTTTTAATACAATTAATTCTTGCTTTTAATTTTTTATGGATTTAAATGTATAAACAAATCGTATTGAAGAATTTTATAATTAACAGTTGCTTTCTCTGTTGAACGCAATAATTATTAACATGATGAGAGTATTTTTCAGATTAGAAAAATTGCTTTTATATACATTTAAATTACATTAAAGAAATACAAATAAAATAAAATGAATAATTAAAAATAATAAATTAATCACACACTTGAATTGGATTTTTCAAAAAGAGAAAGTTATATATCGAATATTAAAATAAATTGAAATAAAATCATCTTCAAATCTTATTATTATATTTTTTTAAATATAAAAACTAATAAAATAATAGGAAGTATTGCAGAGCACTTCATTTCAGCACTTCATTTCTGCAATCGTTGCTTTTTGTAACGAATATGAAATTTAATTTTTATGTTTTTGATTTGCATTCATTAATTTATTAATGACTTACTCGTAATTCCATGTTCGATCTCCGCGATGAAAAATTACGAGATTTCCCGTCGGTTCCACAGCGACTCCGGAAACCTCACCAAGATTTTCGGGACTTCGCCAGAAACGATTTTCGATAGGATGCAGTGGCGTGTTATAAGATTCCGAAAATTGATCCTGCATAATAAAGATAAGAATAACAACAACAAAAATTGTAAACATATGATTATTACAGACCAGGATTATTAATATTGTTAAAATATGATTTGTGTGATTTTTATATAAAAATTAGCTTTATATAAAAATTAGGGCTATATTAGAGATATATAATGCCTCATATTAAATACTTGAATGTTACTCTGTGAAATTAATACGGATGAGTATTAGTAAAAACTTAAGTAAAAAAAGGAATGTGCTTATTAATTTATTAAGTTTTACACGCGTAAATATTATATTAATTATTTTAAATATTACGATGTAACAATTTATTAAGATGTAATATTAAGTATAAATTAGTTACATACGTGAGAAAATTGGTCAGGAGCGTCAAATTTATTGAAGTTACTTCCATCGAAGCTTCCATCATTGATATTGGATGTAACACCTCTAAATATCGCTACACATATCAAGAGAACTCGAAGGAATTGGTTTCCTCTACTCGCCATCGTCTCTCTGCTCTTCCATAAATCTCGCAGCTGACGACGGTCCAAACCGAGGTATCGAATCGATAATACGCGCAAGCGCTCGTCGAATTTAAATTATTACACCTCGGAAGTATAGCTTCAGAGAAATTAATGCAACAAGTACATGGGAAGTAATGAAGGGAATTGATTACCTGATAAAATACGAACAGGATTCAAGTTCGATGAAAAATTCGATTAAATAAAAAGAGAAAGAAGATATAAAAAAATTGTTTTGTTATGTTGTATAACTGAATTATAGATCGAAATAAAACATTTCTATAAATTATTTATATATATAGAACAATTATAACATAACTATCAGAAATTAACAGCAATATAACAGGGATATATACGAGAATACAATAAAAAGTAGAGTGGGAAGTTATTGCGATCAAAACATCAATGATGAACTTAATATTTACTATTTCTCATCGTTATTTTGTGATATAACGGACATAAATTTGTTGTAACTTTTTAAAATTGTTTATTAGAAATTCATTGTTTATTCAGCAGTAACGATTATTCACTTTAATTTGGATGAAAATGCTGGAGAATAAAAGAAATAGGTGGTGATTTTGTCGATACACAGAAAATAACAAATTGGATACCGATGGTCGATGAGAAGTGATGAGCTGTTGTGTCAGATATCGTTTAAAATCAACTGCATCTGCTCCAGAAAGAATTTGCCGGTACAATCAGACAGGTGGGCGTCGATCGATATTCGCGCGCAAGTGTCCTGGTACTGTTCCAGAAAAGTAGGTAGGGATGATCGTATCCTGGAGACCATTGACGTCAGAGTTTTTAATTCGCAGAGTAATCAATAACTTTCTGTGATCTATATTTTCAGCAAAACACAAAATAACAATCATACAACGTCATACGTTAGGGCAGGTCCACAACTTTGCTTTAAGAGGCCTTAAGTCATAAGTCGAAAGAGATTAAGCAACAATAATTTCTGTTTTTATAACTATTTTTGCGCAGTTTAGGCTTTAACCGTTAGATTTACCTAAGCAAATTGAACAAAATCCAATTCTTACGACCTAAAAGAATAAGTTCTGTGGCCGATATATCATCGTCACTTACAAAAACTTACATCTTACGATTTACGACCTCTTAAAGCAAAGTTGTGGATCTATCCTTATTGCTCAAAAAATTCAGCACTTTTGTTAACAATTCCATTTTTATATATGTATAAAATACGGAATTATGATATGTTATATTCTTTTATTTTTAATATTTAAAGGTGAATTGCAAAAAATAATTATAAACGGAAATTACAAGTAAATTTTTTAAATAGACAAATATCATGTATGTCGATTGAAACAAACATCAATTTAAAATCTTACGCTAGACACTAATAAACATTTAAGAAAATGGTATGTAAACAATATTCTTGCAAAAATTAAGTATAAAATTATTTACAAATCTTTGATTAAAACACTTGAAAAACTTATCGATAGAACACCAAGAGTTTATGGCTCTTATTTAAAGTCTATGAATAGGCTGTGACAAGAAGAAAATCTAAAAACAAATAATTTTTTCTTATAAATTTATTTTAATGAAAACATATATATACACAACAATGCATTTAAAAACATAATACATGCAAATTGTATTTGTATTTTATTCTATATTTTATTCTTTATATTACGAAATTTCTATAAACGGAGCTGGAACTTTTGACCGATAGCGTATAATAGTTATAATTATACATAATTATAATTTGCATAGCAATTATACAGTTATATGTATAAACATTATATTCTATTCGCTGTATTTGGTTTAGATGAGAGGCCTATAGCTGTCTACATCTCATTTGCTTACAGATCGATTGCTTACATGTATTATTGAAAGGATTCCGATAGCGCATATCGCTAAGTTAATTTAAAATAAAATATTCTCATTAATGAAAAGTTACTAGTGGTTACTAGACATCGACCGATGTATGTGGATATGTGCTATCGCACTACGCGTTAACGGGATCCTCCCGTATTATTAAGGAGTTTTTGTAATAACGTAAATTCAGATATGGTGAACGCTAAAGTTACATTATTTTTTTCTTAACCTAATCTTAGCGTTCTGTATTTGGATAAACGGTATTGCAAAAATTTCCTATTGCTTACAATTCGATTGTCTTATATATGTTACATGTACTTTTGCGCACAAATATAAAATTGAGATTAAATTACATAAATAAAATTTATGTTTTTGAAGCAGGGAATTTGTATTTTAAAGCAGCGAATTTGTTTTCAAACAGAGAATTTGTGTTTTTAAAGCAGAGAATATTGCTTATAGACAATCGAGCTGTAGGCAATAATACATGTAAACAAGTTACATGTAAACAAATGAAATGTGAAATGTGAAGGCAAACGAAATCTTCTCAGTTGCAAATGCATAGAGCAAATGATGTCATATTAATAGGGGATTAGCTAACTAATCTAATTAAAAATAGTCTTGTTAATTCAATAACAATGAAACAAATATGTCATGCTCTTGTTTTAATAAAATGTTATTTATTTCATTAATAACTGTTATTGAATTAACAAAATCGTTTTTTATTAGATTTCTGCTATTAATACATCTTTTTTCTATCAGGAGACATTATATCAGTGCAGCGCTAGGATATACAGGCGCACGATGTACACAATACTGTAATAATATATAATAAGCTTAAATTAAAATCAGATTACTTGCGTAATTAATTTTAATATTTTAATTTTCGATAATAATAAAATATAGGTTTAATGTATCCTCAAATTTAAACATGTTCTTTTTATAAATTATACATTACAAAATCCATTATAAAATATAAAAGTAAAATTAGCAGTTAGTTTAATAATTAATTAATAATTTTAATATTAAAATAATACATGTAAGGGTTACATGTAGAAACATGTAATTCTATGTAGAAATCCAATTTAATATTGAAAAGTAGTAAGTTTACTTATTTTGAGTATTAAAAATACTGGGAACAACAGTACTGAATAAGTAATATATAATTATTACCTTTTAAGATTAATCTTCTGTAAAGGAATACAAATCTCAAATCTATAGGACAAGTGAGTAAATTATTTACAAATTATTTCGTCAGAGTTTTATTAATAGCAATCACATAATGAGTTTATTATATATAATATGACAATCATAAATCTCTTGGCAGCGTAAATTTGTGAATGCTCTAATACAAATTACATTGCTCTTCCAAATCCAAATGTCTTTTGAATGTCATTCTTGGAACAACGTTCTCTTTTCTAGATAAAATCTATTAATAGAAAATTACCTTGAAAACAATTGCCATATCTTATAACTGATGAATAAATCTGCAAAATTCTAACGAACGCCGATTTTGATTTTGAACAGATGTTTGATTTTCAATATTTCCATCATATATTGCTATCCCTGTACAAAATCCGTTATCATTAGTCAAAAATAATTCTGTGAAATTGTATAATCGAAAATTAGCGATTTAAAAATACTTTGATATTTCTTATCGTTTCCAGCTTAATATATATTAGGTGTAGTAAAAAGAAATCCATTATTTTTGCATGAAATTGAATGGGAAAATAATGGATTTCTTTTTACTACATCTAGTATATGATAAATATAATTAAAATAAATTAATTAGAGAATTATTATTAAAGAACTGGCGAATAATTGTTAACAATAAGAAAATGCGGTAAACTATTAACAAAAAAAGATTATATTTCTGCACTTACTTTATTTCATGAACTTTGCCATGCGAAATGGATTCTATCGATTTTTTTTAATTCACCTGTCTTTCTTCGCGGGTCTGGTACTCCATAGCATCATTTACTTATCGATTTCGAGACTTAATGACGTTTCGGGTTGGGTCCATATGTAACCTGTGCGTGTCATACTACAGTGTGCGTCATAATATCTTCCTGGTGAACGACAATAGGACCATTTCGGGCAGCGACACCGAAACTTACTGTGAAATTCTTCCTTGCACACTTCGTTCCACCAGCAAGTCCTCTGAGGAACATCAGAGAATTTATTGTTTCAAAAATTTAAGAATAAATCTATCATTTTAATTTTTTTTTATTGAATAATACAATATTTGTGCGTAGAATATAAAATATTTCAAATAAATAAAGAAATCATATCATAAAAGATATTTAAAAATTTACCTAGAAATATTATTAGGCATCAAGACTTTAATCGTATATGATTCCTTATTTATTTGATTTATTTGAATAGCAGTATAGTTTAACTTAATTATTATTGTATCAAAAATACTTATAATTATCTACCTCGGCTAGGTAGCCTCTTACACTTTGGTCACTGTAATTTCTCTTGATAATTACATGTCTGGTATTTGCCGAATATACTCTCGTACATAATGCGAATATCAATAAAAAACATAACATAATTCCATCCTGAAAAAGAATAACATATAAAAAAATAATATATAATTTACGCTATATCAAATATATATATAAAGTTAAACATGTAAAAAGTTAACATTTCTTATTTTAAAAACAAGATATTAAATCTTCATTAATTTCTGCAAAAATTTATTGATTCTTTTAGAAATTTAATTTATATTTTCTCTCATTATTTTCGAATTTGTCGAAATTTGTCGATATTTGCAGATACATAAATCTTTCCATCCCTTAATTAGTCATCTCTTACAGTGATTTGAACTTGTAATATTTCTTTAATGAAAAAAATCTTCATAATATTTTATAGTATTTTTAGGAATTTTTTGTATTTGTAATTTATGAAGATTTTGAAAAAGGTTTTAAACTTCTTTAGATTTTATAAGTTTCTTTGGAAATGTACGAATAAAAAATCTTAGAAATATTCCAAAATTCACATATGCAAAGTATTTTAGAAAAGATATAAGTGAACTTTCTCACTTCTGAAATGTTCCAATATCAAAAATCAAAGAAATTTTCTAAAAAAGGATTTCTGAAAAATTCTAAAATTCATATGGAAATTATGAAAAATTATATAAATAATTTTAAGAAAAATATCCGCTAAGGTTGTTGCTGCATTGTAAATGTCGAGAGAATTCGATGAAATTATATATATTTTTGCACGCACTCACATTTTCCCTCATAACTGCTCTCTCGCGATAATTATATTCTCGATTCTAGATTACATGCAAAAAAATGCAAAGAGAGTGGCGAGCTTACGCGAGCTACATTTGCCCGTCGCGATGTTACTCGCGAGGCATTATTCCTAAGCGATGTAGTTCCTGAGAGAAGGAGCAAGTGACATTGAGCATGCGTACGTCCAGTATTCACTGATACAAGGATAGCTCAGTTTCTCTGTCTCTCTCTATCTCTTTCTCTCTCTCTCTCTCTCTCTCTCTCTCTCTCTCTGCCTCCCTTCCCCTCTTCCCTCCGTTCTTCTTTATTTCATTCCATATAGCGATCGATCGAGCTCTACGCACGGATACTATTCCTTGGTGAAAAGCCAAATTAACTTGTACTTAAGAGGATGCTGGACTGACCAAATTATCGGCATTACAGTCGTACAAAGATCTCCGAATGAACGGAATGAAAAATTCTTTTACATGATCAAAATAAATGCAAAATTAAGCGGTGATTAAGTGGACTTTATACTAAAATCGAAAAAAATTAAAACTTATCTAACTTTTTTATATATATTATACACATATAACATATATAAAATAATATATACATATATTAACATACAGTGATGAAAATATAGATATATATATATATATAAAACTTTATAAAATAGTTATTTTATCTGTCTATTTTTACTTGCTGATTATTTTATTATTATTTTTATATACAAATATAGATATGTATAATGTCAATATTAATAAAGTTTCATTTATATTACATATTAATATCTTGTGTAGGTTCATATTGGCATTATACATATCATTATTTTTATATATTTTTGTATTACACAGTTAGAGCAGTTTAGAGCAGTTTAGAGCACTACAATATTAATAATCTGATACAATATTAATAATCTTAGTATGACATTTGAATCTCGCGCAACATTGGGGGCGAAATTTGATTGGCTGCTCCAATATTCAGTCCTTATGCATGGTATACCGTCTTCTTACATTAAGTCGGACTGCGTATTGAAGAATGAGATTGAAGATTGAAAGATTGAAATTTGACCAATCAAAATAAAAGGAGCCAAAATTTCTTTGTCCTCATTGATGAAATTTCAATCTTTAATCTTTAATCTCAATCTTCAATGTATAGTCTGATTCCGGCCTTATGATACCTTTACTATCGAGCGTCACATGAAAAGACACTTTTATATTTCGATAGTTTGAAATTTATTCTGTCTTTTGGCTATAATGCCGCCAGTAGATATCACCACTGCATATCTTATATAGCAAAACCAAGCGAGAAATGTTCCCAAGTGTAAGGGCCAGTTTCACCAACGCCAGTTAGCTTAATCAGCCGTTGACTGACCAATCGCGTTTGCTGTTTAGTAGAAATTGACGAATTGCAGTTGATAGTTAATCACGATTAAGCTTGATCGGCGTTAGTGAAACCGGCCTAGTTTTTAGTTAATCCACACAAAATTCAAATCAGCTGTTCAAATCTTATCAAAATTGTATCCGTACTCTCTAAATTCTTTCAAATGAAATATCACTCTGAAAGAATGAAAATTCCCTAACAGCACTAAGTCGACTCTAAGTCGACTCTAAGTCTACTATAGCTTCTAGACGTCTGAAAAATAAACGTCTGTAACGTCGATTTTAGATGACTTGGAGATGTCTCTAAGTCATACAATGTTTCACTTTAAAGACGACTGTAAGCTGACTTTTTAAGTTAACTATTCTAGACTTTGTATCCTCATTCATGTCTCATTCATGTTTACAATGCTCATGAACAGCATTCATTCTTTAACTATTAAATAACAAGGACGAAATGATTCCATTTAAGTTTTGTGAGTGTAAATCGCTCACTAGATGTCTTAAAATCGATGTTGGAAGGATGTCTGTACAAAGTCGACTTACAGTCGACTCTAAAGGCCTGACTTAGCAAAGTCAATTTACAGTCGACATAATAACATTTGTGCTATTAGGGTTTTATATAGGAATGTTGATTTTTTCATGTAGTTTTTAATGAAAGCTCACTATCTGTGCACAGACTATATCTTACTTGTAGTTCTTGGTTAATGACATGGTGTCGCCACTGTTTGACCAGTATGAAATTTGCTATTGACGGTCCATATTTATGTAATCAAAGATTCTGTTTGATCAGCTGTTTCGCATTTATTTGTCATTCGTCATACTTTTGCGAATGGAATAATGGCATCTTATGCGTTACTGCAACAATGTGCAAGTGGAATTAGTAGGAATAGTCTTAGGTATCTTGCTTTATTAATTTTTTGGACAAGTGATAGACGTAAATATAACCTCAAAATTTATATAACAAATCTATTAAATGTGCGTTAAATTGTTATCATTATTAAATATATGGTTTTAATGCATAAAAAAATTTAAGTTGCTATTTTCTATGATTTCTTGATATATATATGTTATATAATGTAAAAAAATAAATTGTAATTTTATATGAAGTTGAAGAATCAGCACCAGCCTATCTCTAAATTGTTACAATTACAATATTTCTATATTTTACTTTTGCATTAGAATTAAAATATAATTACTAGGAACGTAATATTAGTTTGTAAGCTATTATTTAACAGATGAGTTTATGATTTACAAATTCTAAAGAATTCTCTCTGTATGCAGATTGAGTAGGTTATTTTCAAGTAAAGGCACAGACATACAAAAGAAACCTGATATAGCGGAGCGCAAGAGTCTCCAAGAAATTATACTGTCGCCAGAGGAGACCAAATATCTGCAAGCTTCAAAAAGTACAATTACCATAACATCTGATGAGGATGTTGGTTATGTATCTGGTGTTCCTGAGGAGCATATCAAAACACGTAAAGTAAGGATATATCAACCTGCCAAGAGCGCTATGCAATCTGGAACGAATAACATTCACTTTTGGCAAATGGACTTTGATACACGCGAACGTTGGGAGAATCCATTAATGGGTTGGACTTCCAGGTAAATTAATGTTTATATTAATCTTTTATATATGTTTAAAGTGATAATATCCTTAAGTAAATCTAACAGATTTAAAAAAATGATTATTTACATTAATTCAAGACGAAAACTGTATCTGAAATAATTTCAAAGATATCTGCTTATTCACCTCTGTTTGAAAAACTGATGTATGCTCCAAAAGATGACCCTAGAAACAGACTAGAAAAGTACATAAAGTTTCATCAAAATAGTCCGAATAATTTTCAAAATTTTTGAAAAAAATTTTTTCTTTAACTTTGACATCTTTACATCTCTAACACTAAGTAATTTTGGATATATGATCATATGAAGTTTTGCCTTAAATTAATGTGGTAAATCATTCTTTAAAATTTTTAGAATATCATATATCTTATATCAAGTTATGTAAATCAAGATATATATATATATGAATCATAATGATTATAATATATTGTATAATTTTATAATGATTCTAATATATTGTATTAAGTATAGCGATACATAATAGTAATATTTATATTTTTAATGCAGTGGAGATCCTATGTCAAATATAAAAGTTGATTTTGCGACAAAGGAGGAAGCAATTGCACATTGCAAGAAGATGGGATGGGATTACTATGTGCAAAAGCCGAATGTTAGTCAGCCGAAACCTCGTAGTTATGGTAGCAATTTCTCTTGGAATAAACGTACTAGAGTTTCAACTAAATAATCTACTTATTTAAGCTGTAATGCAACGACAAATCGCTAATTGTAGTCATCCAAAAAAATTTTAGAACATATATATAATGCCAATAAGTGTATATATATATATATATATATATGTTTAGCGCAATGTATTTCAGTTTAAATTTGATATGTATCTTTTTTGCCTATTCCTTATTGGTTGAATAGAATAAACATTAAATAAATTTATTTACACTTTGACATGTATGTTACTTTTTATAATTATCTTAATGTAACATTATTTTTGAATCTACATGATTATTTAAGGAAGATTATGGGCGAAAACAGTGACACATGCTTCAGTGAAGATAACAACAGTCTGATAACATTTTAACATTTCTAATTATATTTCGTTTGTGTTATTTATAATTATATACTACAATATTATTAACAACGTTCTGCATTGACAAGTTTGCGCGCCTTCGTGTCAGGCGGAGCGAAATGAGAAGTTATCATACAGTACGCGTTTGAATTCATTATTCAATTCATTATTCATATTCAAAATTATTGAAGATCATGTTAGAACATCTTGATGTATCGCATAAAAAATGCGAATCTCCCTTCGAGCTTATCGTATCGATGCATTCTATTTTGCATTCTCGCTATGGTCAACTAAGTTCTTTTCTGTCTAAAAGACATGCAATTATTACTATCCTTTCCAGCCTGTACTACATATAAAATTAGAGAAAAAAAGATTCAAATGTTTACAACTTGTTATAGCACCTAATATAATGTCTTATATATATTGTCATCAACGTTAGTTGAAAAAAATTGGATATATTTTTAATGTATATTATGTTAACGAATGAGAGGATAATTTCTCTTGTTTAATACTTTATAAACTTTCATTCAAAAGAGATTATATTTATGAAAAATTTTTTTAAAATTTCCTTATTACCAATGGCAAATGATGAGTCGGTTTTTATTGGAACAATCGTCGTGCTCTGGAAAGGAACAGGAAATTGCTTAGAAATTAGTTGACCGAGGTCGTTGCTGCAAACAGACCCTTAATTATTTATAATTAAGACATAAAGCGAAGGAAAGAACGTGTGCAATCGTATCTCATGAGAGCGAAATATAAGAAATGACATGTTATTATCACAGAAAGTATAGCAATAAGAAAATTGTAAGGACAAAAACAAGTTGTCGTTGAAGATTGCAGAGAGAATCCTCAAGAGAGGCGTTAATATATCGTTAAATCGTATAAAACATTTTATGGTATCTAGTAATCTCTTCCAAGAGATTCTACTTCGTCCTGCGAAAGACAGGATAAATTAGAGGAAATATTATCATTGAAATTCATTTAGAGTAATTAAATTTTAAATTGCTAATTTAGAAACTGTGGTTCTTGTAGTTGAATTTCCTTTAATTTATCCCGTTTACTTTGCAGTGAAGATTGTCTCCCTTTATCCCTTTAAAAGATATTTTGGCTGTATT